TTAGATTATTTCACCTAGCATATCTTCAAGGTTCATTTGGCTTGCAGTATGGGTGAGAATGTCTTTCCTTTTTAAGGTTGAATAATATTACAGTGGCCTTCCCTTGCGGCTCAGATGGTAAAGAATCCACCTGCAATGCAGGAGACCAGGGTTCGATCCCTGGATCAGGAAGATCCCCTGGTGAAGGGAATGGCAACCCACTCCAGTATTCTTTCCTGGAGAATTCCATGGACAGAAGAGCCTGGCAGGCTACATCCATGGGGTCTCAAAGAGTTGGACATGACTGAACGACTAACACATTCACTAACTTTCAATATTACTTTATCTGTCTATACTACCTTTTGTCTATCCATTCATCCATAGATGTATGCTTGAGTTGCTTCCACTTTTAGCTATTGTGAATAATACTGCTGTGAACAAGAGTGAACAAATAAATCTTTAAGAACTTGTTTCCAATTCTTTTGGTTCTGTATCCAGAATTTGAATTTCTGCATCCTATGATAACTGTATTTTGATTTCTTGAGGTACCTCCATACTGTTTTGCATAAGTGTGGCTCATCTGGTAAAGAATCTGCCTGCAGCGCTGGAGACCTGGGTTCAATCCCTGGGTTGGGAAGATCCCCTGGAGAAGGGAAAGGCTACCCACTCCAGTATTCTGGCCTGGAGAATTCCATGGACTATACAGTCCATGGGGTGGCAGAGTCGGACACTACTGAGCGACTTTCACTCACTGCACCACTTAACATTCCCACCAACAGTGCTCTAGGGTTCTGATTTCTTCATATCCTTTCTCACACTTAATATTTTATGGGTTTTTTGATAGTAGTCATCCTAATAGATATGAGGTAATATCTCATTGTGGTTTTGATTTGCGTTTTGCTAATGACTAGTGATATTAAGATCTTCTCATATGTTTGTTGGTACAAAATGCTGTTAAATACTAATATACTTCTTTACTTTGAGAAGATGAAAGCTCCTCTCTCCCACATTAATATTAAGAGAAATTCTGGTAAACTTTAATAAGGTACAATGCTATTAAACATTACTGAAAATTCAAAATATTGAAATACCAACATTCTGCTAGAGTTTCCCAGTTAGTCAAGAACATGACTTAAAAAAAGAACCCTCTAATATTGGTTAATCTTTCATCCCATGTTTTAACACATATTAAATTTTCTTATCTTAGAAATTCTCTTGAGCAGCTGTGAGCTTCTATTTTTCAAAGATTTTATTACAAGTCACCAGAAGAATGCTCATCCTCCCTCTCTCATGAGATGGAAACAAGAGATACACATGTTGTCATAGGGAGAAAATTTATGTTATCCAGAAGCTCCAGTGAGCTATTTCTCTTATCAAATTCTCTGTGGTTTCTGTACTATTATACTTAGGTTTATTTACTCAACGGTATTTACTTAATACGTGTCCTGTGTTAGATACTGGCCACTCAAAGATAAAATGGTACAGTGTCTGTCCTGAAAGATCTCACAGACTGGTGGTAAGAGCAAACGAGACAGTTAGCAAGTTTAATATAGAACAGCATCTTTTGCCACTGAGAACAATCTGCATCTTATGGGAGGATCTTATGGGAGGATCAAGGAAATCAGTTGAGTGAAGCCCAGAATTTAGTGCGGGAGGGGTTGTGAAAAGTGGAGTCGGAGAATGAGGTGAATATAAGGGCAATTTAGAAATATTTTAGGATATCAAAAAATAACTGAAGTTTTCCTGCAAATGTTTTGAAGTTCATCCTCAGTTTCTCTTGTCCTTCCATTTTTAGTTGATTATTTCAACCCATTTACAAATATTTTAGAAAGTTCCTTGAATGGATAGATGTGAAAACTACAAATACCTTATTGGTTTATTGCTTAAATTTTATGCAAGTACAAACGAATGGTGATGTTTTAACTTTCTGGTTTTACAGCCCTGACCTTACAAGGTCATTTTGTACATAATTTGTTTTGCATTAAATTTGTATTTCATTTTTGCACTGAAGTAGGTAAATTTATAGTTCATAAAACAGTTTCATGTCTTGTGAAACATTTTAAGGTCTTCTTTTATTCATCTTTACCTCACTACCAAGGCACTGCTTTCCCTGGGATCTTATAGTCTCAAGTTTAAATTTAAAAACATCTATTAAAAGTCTTGATCTAGAGACAAGGACGTCTCCATGATATTTGAGTTCATGGCTGACTTTAACTTAGCAGTGAAGGTGAAGATGTTATTTCAAGTAACATTTGTGCTTGGGTTAAGTAAAGCTCTGAGTGAGAAGTGTTTTTGGGGTTCTGATAACTTTGAATGGAATTACTATCAAATAATTTCAGATTTGACATTGTCTCTTGAGATCATTAAGCACATTTCTCTCTTTCTACATGTGAGCACATTGAGATGCGCAGAACTAAGGTATTTGACCAAAAAAATATAGTTAGTGTAACAAATGACAAAATGAGCAGACACTTAGCCTCTCTGGATTAGTTTCAATTATTGATATAAATATTCTGCCCTCTCTGGACAACCTGCTGAAAGTTGATGATTTAAAAAGAAAAGTATTTGTTTTGCATAAGTCTGCTTTCACTTCCTACATGTGTACTTTGCCTACTGCTGTCCTAAATAAAGAGACGACTCATCTCAAATCTTATTTGACTTGAAGGACTTAGATAAGTGGAAATGCATGTAATGAAATAAAAGGAAATGGATATGGAGACAAAGACTGGTCACAGAACAAATAGAAACATGAAAGAAGTCTCTTTTTTTTTGAGCTATGCTTTTTAAATGTCACTGCTATCTCCTCTTTCCACATTTCTGTTTGTAATGGCAGCTGTGTCTTGTCCTCCTGCTACGCAATTGTAGTTCGAGGGTAGTCCTCCTCTTAGCAGTCTGAATTTTAGGGAAATGGGAGGAAAGATTTTGGTCCTTCAGTTCTCTGCTTTCATTTCTGCTGGGATGTGTATCAGTGATGGGATCTCTTTACCCACCATGTCTCTATATTCTCTCTTGTAAATCTATTTTATTGAAAGGTTTATCAGATATTTTTTAAATGTTCGTCTTTGAAGGAAGGCTGTGGACTTTTGTTTTAATTAATAAAAGAAGCTAATGTGTACTGAGTATTTGATGTCTGATGGGTGGTGGTAGACTTTGTGAGAGTCCATTCTCTGATTTAATCCTAGCAATACGTCTATGAAGTCACTGTTAGTAGACTGACAAGGCCTCACAATTTACTAGTAACAGGCACAGAACCAAAGTTGAACCTGGGACTTTTACCCTCTAAATCTATGGAGGCTACTGTGCTAAGTACCTTGTCCTCCAAAGTTCAGCACACAGTGCTTTCTGCATGGTGAAAAATTAATTACAGTCAAAAATTAAGAAATACACATGTCCACAGTAGAAGAATAAATACAACCCTAAACATTAATTTGCTAATTCTTTTTCACCATGTAGGATATAATTTGATAATCAATCTTACATACTCCATGTGTTACACAAATGTTTCCAACCTTCTTAAATTATTAACTTTGACCCCTGTGACATTCAGAAAACATAAACGGAAAAATGCAATAATATTATCAGTAACCCTTTCTGTGTAATATGGTGAACTGAGGGAAATGTGATGAGTTACTTTTATTTGGAAAAACATGTTACTCTGTTCTGACTCAAGGGTGTTGATACTTTTGGTGTTAGCCTGGATTTGTTTTCTTTTGATCATGCAATTACTGCATTCATTTTCCTTAGTCCTTAGAGAAGGAAAAACATCCCAGTTGCCAAATGCTAATGACGTGTTTATAGGGTCTTAAAGCGTACATCTCATTATGTTTCTGTTTTTCAGCTGAGAAAAGTTTATGAAGTCAGCATTTGTTTCTCTTGGAGGAATTTTGCTTGTATGTTTTAAAGACACATTTACCGTCTCCTTCGGGTGGTTTGTACCAGTATCTGTCCTTCATCATTAGAGCAACAGAAATTTTTCCCTTTGCGGTCTTACACAGCTTAGATAAATTTAGTCTGTTCTTCCAAAAATATTAATAGTATACCTGCTGCATGTTTTTTCTGAAAATATTTTTTGTTCTTCATTTTTGTAAGTGTATGCTTACTTAGAGACAGTTTATGAATCAATATGAGGTTTATTTCATACTTTTTAAAAAGTTTGACTTGAGCCTTGGTGTTAAGCATCCTGAAGATATCCTGGTTGTGATTGTTTTAATATTTAAGCAAATAGTAATAGTTATTTGTGTTTCTGTGAAGACATAAACCTAACATCTTGCCCATTTTTGTAATGAGGCCCCATTCTCTCCAGTCACACAAAGCCTGAATTGAAAATTTCAGGACACTGAGATTTTCTTAGATTCTTCTCTGGTTGTCTAGAGCTCCCACACCATGAAGAAGAAGAAGCAATTTTGATGTAGTTATCTTTGTTCTCATACATGCAGCAAAGGGATAACAATAAAAGCTTAGACTTGAATTTCATATTTTACAGTAACTTTCTTCTGATTTGGCAACTCTCTTGTTGGTAAGTTGTAACTCCTTTTAAAGAAAAGGACACAAAAATTCAAAGTGAGTTGCACGTCCTAGTTTACCTAGATGAAGGGTCCCAAATTCAACTTGGCAGTTTTGACCACAAGCTCTGTGATACTTGCTCTTCACTTTGCATGGTTAGATGCCATGGAATGAAGAAAAATGGAGTAAGCACCTTTAAAATAATTTAAATTGCAAAGTGTTTTGGTATCCCACATTCAATCAGAAGGCTTGTACTACGGTTTTAAATGTATATAATATATATCACATTGTACAATATGTGATAATATATATTTATTATACAATATACCTTACATATATGCTCTTTCAGTATACTTTATATATGTCTTAGATGGTCAAATTTTCCTTTTTAAGGAGTTTTTTTGAGTGCATCAAAGAGAGATAACCTAAAGAGATCTTTCACATTGTTCATTTGGAAATGATAGAGAGACAAACTGAGATTGTCCTTTCAACATATGAATCCTTTACTTTGTTCACAGCTGCAAACATTTTTTGAGACATTCCTGAGAGCCAGTTCACCTCTTCAGGCTTTTGATAACATGAAGGAAGCCATTAGCAAACTCCTACTAGCAGCTGAAGTATTCAGTGAAACATCTACTCTGGGACCAAAGATCTTCCATAGGTAAAAGCAAATTTTAATGTTAAAAAAAACACAACCCTACCTTCTAAAAATTGATTGTTAATGAAATGTATCTTAATGATCACAAGTAGGTGCTACTTGGAAATTTTTATATAGTATAAAGTATGAACTTCTAAACTGATGTTTTGTAATTTGTAGACCCTCTAAGTTCAGAGTATGTTAAAGACTCACAGTATTTAAACAGTGGTGACAAAAAATAAAGCACAGTTAATATATAAATTATTTTAAAAATTGTAACCCCTTTCAAGCTCACCTAGTTTATCATATATGCTTTCCATTGACTAATTATATTTTGATTTATATGCTTTTATTAACAAAATTCAATAACTCTTATCTCTACATTTTATCCAGTTTACTTGAATATAATTTAAGGCCTTTTTCTAGGGAAATGTTAAATCTAGTATGTTAAGAAAAGGAGGTACCTCCATGTAAGTTTTATCATGCTTTCTATGTGAATAAGAATGCTTAGCATGAAGAAGTAGGAGAGGTTCCTTTCCCACATTGTGTGTTTATGGAGTCAACTTCATTGTTTCATTTAATGTGTTATGAATACTTTTTATATGTCTGTATTTTCTGTAGGTAATGAAACAGGCTCCAAATCCAAAGATAAATTGTATTTAATTTTAGATTATCTGAGCCACTGCTCTTTGTAATCAGTTTAGATGTTGAAATTTAACCCCAGTGATAAGTAATGATATAGTACCAAATAATAGAGTAAACATAGCGAAGATAACGTGTCTTGTTACCGTCTGTTGTTTTTATTTTATTTTTATCAGAGCACAGTTGCTTTACAATGTTGTTAGTTTCTGCTATGCAGCAAAGTCAGTCAGCTGCACGTATGCATATGTCCACTCTTTTTTAGATTTCCTTCCTGTTTAGGTACCACAGAACATTGAGTGCTATACTGTAGGTTCTCATTAATTATCCATTTATACATAGTAATATATATATATATATATGTGTGTGTGTGTGTGTGTCAATCCCAAACCCCCAATTCATCCCACCCCTCTTGGTAACCACGAGTTTGTTGTCTCCATCTGTGACTCCCTCTGCTTTGCAGATAAGTTCATCTCTACCATCTTTCTAGATTCCACATGTAAGTGACACTATACAGTATTTGTCTTTCTGACTTATTTCACTCTGCCTGGCAAGCTCTAGGTCCAGCCACCTTTCTGCAAAAGGCACTATTTCGTTCCTTTTTATTGTCACCTTGTGTTTTTATTTCAGATGCAGATTGTGTTTTCAACTTTTAACCTTTGATATTGGTTACGGCAGTGTCAGGTCCCCTGTAGTACTTCAGGTGAGTATGCCAGAGTGCTCACGGAGCTTTCCTTTTGGCTGAAGTGTGTGTGTGTGTGTGTGTGTGTGTGTGTGTGTGTGGTGGTGGTGGTGTTTTCATTCATAGTAACCAATCAATAAGTGCAACATGCGTCAAACTTACAACATCAAACTTACACTTGTGCTTCCTTGGTAGCTCAGAGGGTAGACTCTGCGTTCAATGCAGGTGGCACAAGTGATGGGGGTTTGTTTGATCCCTGGGTTGGGAAGATCCCCCAGAGAAGGGAATGGCAACCCGCACCAGTATTCCTGCTGTGGTTCAAAGAATTAACTAGTATATGGAGAGTCTATGATCTGAGTTACAGCACCCACTCTACTTTCCTGTTGAACAAGCACACATTTTTTTTTTTTTTATGGTTCAGCCACTGTTTATGAAATAAACGTGGCAGAAAGTTGAGTATGTGTTGATGCAAGAAAATAGACATCTAGTTAATAAAAAAATAGCAGGTTACCTAGTTTATTCACATGGGTTTATAAAAAAGTTAACTCCTTTATACTTTACATATAGATATTTAATTTAAAACTGGCCTAGATTTTAATTTAATTTTTTTTAGATTTTAATTTTAAAACCATAGGAATTTTTGAAATATTTGTTTTCAACATTTGTATGAATATATATAAATTGAAGCATGTTTTTTGTACACTCTGACTCTTTTACTTCATCTTAAATTAACTCATTCATATCATCTCCTCCAACATATTTTTAATCCAAAATTGCCCTTAGTGGCAATAAGGTTTTAAAAGTTGACTGCGTTAGTCTATAGACAGCTAATTTATGATATGGCAAGAGAAACAGAATAAAATTTATGCACACCCTGGAGTAGAAAATGGCAACCCATTCCAGTAGTCTTACCAGGGAAATCCCATGGGCAAAGGAGCCTGGCAGGCTACAGTCCAGGGTATCACAAAGAGTCAGACCTGATTGAGCAGCTGAGTAAAGAGCACACACAATTGTGTACGCGCAACTTACATAATATTGTGCATCAACTATACTTCAATAAAAAAGAAAAAAATTATGTTCAACAAGAGTTTGACTTCATACTGCATTGACTGGTTTTCAAACTATTACACCAGGAGAATGATTACATTATACGTGATTCAGACATTTGGTCGATTCAAAGATTTATCCCTAAAATTCTAAAATTTTATGAATCTACGTCTTTTATTGGTCATTTATTCATTATTTTACCCACATTGTTTACATATATATAAACCCACAATAGTTTACATTATGATTTTAAAAAATTTATTATTTAGAGGTGTTATATATTATTATGAACACAAGTTCATCAATGATATTTTTAAGGTAAACTGATATGATTCTATAAAACAGTAATGTTCTTATGTGCATGCATGCTAAGTCGCCTCAGTCATGTCCAGCTCTTTGCTACCCCATGTACCGTGGCCCACCAGGCTCCTCTGTCCAGGGGATTCTCCAGGCAAGACTACTGGGGTGGGTTACCATGCCCTCCTCCAGGGGATCTTCCCGACTCAGGGATCAAACTCGAGTTTCTTAAGTCTCCTGCATTGGCAGGTGGGTTCTTTACCACTAGCACCACCTGGGAATCATATTTTCGAAAGAACAGTACTTAGATTTTTATAAAATTGTTGACCTCCAAAAGGACCACTAGATGTCAGTTCTGATCTATAATCCAACGGGAAATGAATCATGTCTTAGAAGTAATTTCACTGCATTAAAAATAAGTCAACAAAAAATATTTGCTGTTATTTAACTCTTTCACAGGTGCATGAGCATTTAAATTTTCAAGATGATGATGATATGGATTTTGAGGACCAAAACACAGAAGAATTTCTTTTAAAGGATACTTTCAACTTTGTCCTGTCTAATGAATCTTCCCTTTCCATATTTTCTGAGATATTTCAGAGACTTTATAGATCAGCAGTAGTTAAGGTCAGTGCATATTTTTTACTGACAAGTATTTTTAATTCATTTTTAGGTATCATTTTCTTTATCTATCATTTTCTTTACTGTGCAGTTAAGCAACTTGATAATTCATTTGAAATTGATTTGAATATATAAACCTCTTAATATTTTTCTGATGTAAGGATCAATATTACTTTTGTGTCTACTAAGTATGTGAATGAATGACTATGATGAAATTATGGGTTGAAAATGAAGTAAATCAGCTCCTAATTCCCAAGAGAATTTTGTTCTTATAATGCATAATGCATGTTATGTATTCTACTGTATACTACTGTATTCTACTGTATACTGTTAAGGAATTCTTGAACCTTTTGGAAGCAGTTAGTGCTCTAGATTAAAATCAAGGGGCTGAAGTTATAATACTCATTTTTTTAAAAGCAGTTACATCTGGTTAACATTTTTGGTTAGAGGCTGATGATTAGGGAATAGTGCTTCAAAGTAAGACTTATGATCTGTTAGTACAAGTTTTCTTGATGTATGGAAAAAATCTGTACGGATTAGTAATCTAGGTGTAGTATCATTTTCTCTGTATCTTTCTGTTTTAAAACTATAACTAGAAAATTTGGAAAAGTAGAATGTGAAAGGTCTCACCAACAAATGGTGCTCTACAGAGAGATGGTTTTGAGAGTTAAACGTTATAGACTCTTGTCTACCTAAGATTTTATTGGTTCATTCCTAGAGATCCCTGTTTTCCTTCCTTAGTGAGTGGATTGTCATTAAAATCATTAGAACCACTTGACCCAGAGAAAATAGTAAGATGTGTATCTTTTGCTCTTAGGGATGCATTAGAAAAAATAAATGTGAGGGAAATGGGGGTGCGGGTAAGTCTGTTTACTGGAATCCGTGAAATGTGAAAATGGTAGTGTGACATACGTGAGGTTAACGTGTAAATTTCCTGCTCTGATTTTGGTACCCTGAAGGCTAAAAAAAGACTTCCTGCCTTTGCAAACCGTCACACTTATTCTGTCCTTCTGGGCCCAACTTCCCAACCTTGCTGCCAAAGCACTACCGAGCTATTTCAGGTTCTTTTGTCAAACATGAAGTTTTCTTGTATTCTGACATCACCTTAATGAGTTGAAGTTGCTATATTATTTAGAATTAATTAGCTCAGCTGTTAAAGAGTTTAAAATTTGGTTTTTGACTTGTGCTAAACATAGCTTGATTTTGGAACAATTGATTAAGAGTTGTGTTTTTTGCCCCTGTTATAGGGTGAAAATTATCAAAAAGAACTAAATCGGTGCCTGTCTTTAGAGGAGATTAACTCAATTATGACTTTTATAAAGGAACTCGGGAGTTTGGGACAATTCCAACTGGTAAAGCAAAAGTGACCTTTGATTCCTCTTGATTACTGAGATTGTAGTAGATCAACCATGAGCTACTTGATTTTTGACTTAAAACTAGAAGATATTTCCTTAAGTATTTGTAAGCTTCTTTTTAGAGATATGAAGATTAAGATGAGCAGAATGCATATTCTTTAAGAGTATGCAGATAATACATGACTTACTAAAGGTAAAAGAATGTGGAATAAATATAGCTGGGAGGCTTTGCTAATTCTTAAGGGGGAAATGCTAACATTTTTCTAAAGAAGTTTGCTGTTTGCTTTGGAACATTTACATGTATCCAAAATTTCCTTCTGTTTATTATGCCCCTTTTGTTGTATAAAAGCAAACATTATTCAATAAAATAATAATGTTTTTTAAAACTACCTAAGTTTGTTATAAATCTGTAGCAAACTCCAAAAAAAAAAAAAGTAAATATTGATAATTATAACTTTTACTGGTTTCAGCCTGAAAGTATAAATGGCATTTATTTTATTTTCTATGTATTTTCCTAGATTCTGTTAAGTTATTGATCAATATCAATGGGTAATTTATTACACATATATCTATATGCTTCATACTTGCTTTGTTTCTGGTTCTGCCTTTATATAGATAATTTATATTGGATTCGTATTTTTCTATGTAAGATTTGTTTATATAAAGCATTTCTTTAAAGTAGCATTTTTAAAAGTCTACTAATAACTTATTATTAATCTGTTTGGATAAAATATTTATTTTTTACTTAAAAATTTGTATTCAGATGCTACGTGTATGAATTTTAACCAACTTAATTCGTGAATGTTTGACACTTGCTTTTATTACTTAGCCCCATATTTTAGAGGATTCAAAGTAAGCTTATTACTCAAAAGAGAACTTAGTTGATGGATTATTTTAATTAATTTAAATACAGTAAGTGTTACATTTGCAATAGTTTGGTTCAGTACCATACAAAGATAATCAGAGAGATCTGGCCTCATTCTTCAGGAATTCTTAATTTAAGACATTATTAGGAAAGTAAAGAACTTCTCTTGGCATAATGTGAAGAATAGAAAAATTATTTTATAGGAGAAAGGGTAAACATTAATATCTGACTCTCAGAGTAGAAAGAGGATGACCATAGATTTTTATGTTTGGTCAGATTAATATCTCTCATCCTGACATTTATAAGACACTTATAATCCAAGAGGATTTCATCTTATTTTTCCTGATACCTAACTCTGCCACTCAGCTGTTTTGGGGGTATCTATAGAAAGGAGATAGCTGTTTTCATTCAAAGAAAAGAAAAATAAATTTCACCCCATTTGAAAATATAAACATCAGCAAAATTAGTTTCTTATAAAAAGTGGCATTTACATTGACAGCAACACAGAAAATTAAATTACGGTACTGATAATAGATTTTTCAATAAATGCCTAATTAAAATATATGAATAAATATAAAGCCTTCCCAAGTAATACTATACTTTCTTTTCCGTCACTTAGTCTGATATTCTGCTCTTGAATATTCCTTCTCAGCTTTTCCCATCTACTACTCCTGGATTTCAATCTCTGATTCATGAATTTTATGGTATGGCAAGTCCTATGGGAAAACCTGGTTCCATCCTGACTCAATACCAGTCTCTTTTAAGTGTATTTGAACAATTTCAGCTCCTGAATAAAAAGGCAGAGCTACACTCGCTGGAATGGTAAGAGAGCCACAAATTTGAATTGTGCAACCCCAAAAATCTCTAAAGATTGATTTCAAAAGGCATTGCCTACATTAAAGAAAGCAACAAAAAGAAGTGTATCCAAAAATTCATGCTCTGGAAAATAAGCTTCTTTAAAACATTGAAACCATAATGATTCTAGTGGTCTTCAAACACTGTAACAAAAATATATCCAACAGTTTTTCAAACCAGCAAGACTTGACTCCACTCAAAAGTCAAGTTTAAAATTAAAAGTTTCAAGCTAGTTTCACCCTGTGATATATATCCCTGAATTTCAGGAGCATCAGACAGAAAGAATTAGGTGAGATTTGTTTTATGAACCGTCAGTCAGAGTGGAGGCCAGGATGGTATGAACATTCATTTAGAGTTTTTGAGGCATGAGTTTATTCTGGACAAAATATATCCAAATTTATAAATATGTCTGTCTCTACCACAAGATTAGTGTTTTGCTTTTTTTTTAAAGATGGAATCTCAGAGAGGAGCATTTGGCCAGGAGGAAACGTCCTTGGCCTCCCCCATCCACTTCCATTCTAATGTGGGGTAGTAATGAGGGAATAAGAGTCTGCTGGTCCAGTGAACATAATAATACCCCCAGTCAGTGGAGGAAGGGGCACTGCCCATGGTGCCAGCTAAGTCTACTTCCCTTTTACATGATGGAATTAAGTAAGTATTTGACTCGTCTATTGCCAGGAAAACAGAAATAAACCCAACCACCTAGAGGGATCAAAGACTAGATGGCCGTGCCATGCTCGTCGGTGTCTCTGAAGTCACCCTCATGAATGGCCTCAATTCTACCGACTTTCCTCTTTCCTTCTGCCTCAGGAGACAGTGAAAACAATCCTAGAGACACTTTTTTTTAATAGTTCAAAAATACAAATAATCACATAGCTGAAGAATTCTTAGGACGTCTCCCAGGTCCGGAACTCACTTTAATTGCCACAACTTTATGCAGTTGGCCTTATTCCCTCAATACTCTGAAGTAATAGGATTGATAGAAGGTTTTGTTTGTTTGAAAGTTAGGTTTTAAATAATATAGCTCAATGTCCCTTTGTTTGTTCTTTGCACTCACTCAATCCAAGACTGTCTCATTCATCATTATCGACAGAGAAAGAGCAGACTTGATTTACCAAAAAGTCTATTTAAGTATTGTTTTTTACTTTAAGTAAGTTAAGTTCCTTTGAGATATGCAAGGCTTGGAAAGTTTGTTTCCCAAGTTTCTCTCAAGGTCCACATTTGTTATATGGTTAAGCAACTGACTTGTCTTAAATTCAGAATATTGGATTTAAGCTTAATTTTAACCCTAACTGATTCTTTCCAACAATGTAATTTACTGAAGGTCAGTGTTAAATATCATTAGAAAAAGTCAGGACTTTTTTGAATCAAACAGCCTTGGATTTAAAAATCCCAAGTTTAGATTTTGTTAATTATAGCAGCTAAGATTTTCCTTTGCAATTCAGTTTCCATACCTGTAAATTATGGATTATACAACCTACCAAGAATTGTTTCAAGATTATATCAGATAAGCTTCATATACTGTGTGGTGTGTGGTATGCTGCATCAGAGATAGGTAGTTAAGTATTAATATACTTTCTGTTTCCTTCTCCTATACCATCCAAAGGTCACTTTACATCTAAAATGGGAGAAATGTTTTTCTTTCATTTATAGGAAAAGCAAGATAAGTTTGAAAGACTTATCTGAGTTAGCACTATGATAAGTAAACTTGAAATCTTTATCAAGAAACAATTAGATAAATTGTTTCCAGACAATTTTAAGAAAGACTAGTTAATTTAATTATCTTCAAATTTACCAGTGAGGTATATACGTATGTATTTAATTATCATTCATGCTGTATCACAAGAAGGATTGGTGTCATATACGTTTTCTAGATGAGGAAACTGAGGTGCTAAGAAGATGGGTCATTTGCTCAAGCTGAGCAGCTAATTGAGTCGGAGCTACAACCCTGGCCTCTTCTTTCTGGTCTTATTCTTTATACCAGGACCTCATGCTGACAGGAAGGTCAGATGTAGGCATTCATAACTGCCCTTATCTTCACAGTGGCCACCCCTAGTTTTTCATACTCTAAAAACCAGTTTTACATACCTATGTTATCTGTGGTGAATGACTTCCTTCCCCCTTTTAAATAAACATCATCCACTTATAGCAACAAGGTGAGGACAAATAGACAAGCAACATTTAGAGAAAGTGACACTTCTGTCTGTGCCCTGAGGTTCAGAATCCAGGGGTGCTATCAAAATGAGTAGAAATCTGAACAGAATAAAAAACACTAAAATCGATGTGTGTGTACTCTCTGTTAATTTTCACTTCACTGGAAATAAAGTAGCAGGTGTAATTTGCTCGAATCACATGCTTTCCATGAAAATCCACATTTTCAAAATAAATTATTCAAAAAATCACACAAGAAATCACTTGGGGGATGCCTTAAGATACAAAACATTTCATTCCATTGATATAGTAACTTTTCTAAAATTCAGCTTATATCATTTCAGGGTTGTATCTTTTATGTGCTTTACTTAGAATGTTTGCTTCATATGAAATAAAAAATTTCTTTTACCTTGGCCTGGCACTCAAACTTATAGCAAGCATATCTCATCCCATGCTTGCTTTATTGGGAGGAGGAAAGTATTTTAAAGTCCACGACATGGTTGTTTTTCACCCCTAATTACATCATTGCATATATTAAAGGGAAAAAGACTTGAAAATAAAACTGCAATAAAGTTATCACACCTTCCATCATTAACAATAGTTCTAATTCCTGATTCTTCTTAATTTTCTATCTAATGTTTATATTTTGAAGGAATTGAAAATGCCTTATTCATCTCCATCACAGTGTCCCGTATAATATCTGGGACAATAAATCTTTATAAAATTAAAATAACACAGAGCATTTGGTTGAATCGTCATAGCATCCCTGTGAAGTAAGGCCAGCATTGTTATCTCTGCTTCGTTGGCGTAGAAATGGAGCCTCCCAACACCACACAGTGAAGTCAAGTCACATCCCACCCAGTATTCTCTATCATAAGGACCAACAGTTTTTTCTGTCTGCCACTTAGATTATTTTGGTCCTAAATTTGAGGATTTAAAGGGCCATCTGGCTTAGCATTTAGTTATACAACAGAAAAATGAGGCAAACACACCAAGATATAACCAACCCTTAACATTCATCCCTGTTAATCAGAGTTTAAGGATAGAGGCCTTGGCAAGACAGGTCATTTTCTGCATGGTACGCTTAAGTTTCTTAGATTATGTGGATGTTCTCAGTCTGTGCCTCAGAGTTTCCAAAGCTTCTTGCTACAAGACTTTGTAATTTTAGCCAAACAGATTCCAATAAGAATGTGTATCCTTGAATCACTTCTGTTGGACCTAGGCTATCAGAGTTTGTTCCCTTTTGGACCAAAGAGTGACTTTTTGCCCTGGTTTTCTTCATATGGGCTTCTGCTGATTAAAGATGATGAGATTTCCATCCACCTCACTTGAGACAAGATTGCCAGTTTAGAGGAATGAAATTCAGAACGTTTTTCTTTGTGTTCATCAAAATAACTGTGTTCACACAGGAAAAAAAGATAGTGTGTTAGATGTAATTTCCGTGAATTTTGTTCAGTGCATTGATCCAGGGTTGTTTGATATTGCATTTGCAGGAATTCTTTCACAGAGGATGGAAACATTAAAAAGCCACGAGTACCATTTGATGCAACTGAAAATAAAAAAGGTAAAAGATGTCCTCTTGTTTCTTTCAACATGAAAATAAGTATTGTTTGGCCAAAATCATAAAAAATGTTTAGCTTTATTAGCAGTCAAAAATGAAAACTAGACTGGGAAATGCTGTTTTCCCCTCAAATGTGGAGAGATTTTTTTCCTCTTAAAGATAATAGAGCTGGGGAGAGTGTAGGGTGGTATACACCACCCATCGCTGGTGGGTGTATAAATCAGAGCAATCTTTCTTAAGGGACCTTTTAACAACATGTAAGAAAAGCTTTAGAAGTTATTCATATATGCCATAAATTTCACTCTTAGATACTGATCTTAAGGAAATAATTAAGAATGTACACAAAAATTTAATTGCATAAATTATAAAGGAAAAAATAACAACTACCATTATTGCAGTAATAGTGGAATGGATTAAGCTATTTGTTGTTATTCACAACAGAGACACTAAGTCATTCCGTCTCTGCAACCCCACGAACTGCAGCCGACCAGGCTCCTCTGTCTTCCACTGTGTCTCAGAGTTTGCTCAAAGTCATGTCCACTGAGTCAGTGAAGTTATCTATCCATCTCATAGTCATCCAATAAAATATAAATCCACCCTAATATTATAGGAAAATGTTTATACATGAAAGATGTTTAAGATATATTATTCAATGAAACATTTGACTACATGCCACATGGACCTCAAGGAAAATTAATAGTGACTTTGATTTTCTCTCTCAGTCTTACCTCTGTTTCTTATATTTTTTCTTCTAAAAAAATCTGAGCTTTTTGTCACATGAAAAGAAAATATTTATAATTTTAAGAAGATGAAAAGTATACATGTCTAAATTTAAAAAATAAAATCAAAGTTTTCCTAGTACAAATCAAGGTTTAATCCAATACAGTGGTTTTGAGTGTATGGCTCCTAGACCAACAACTTGAGCATCATCTGGAAAGCTTGGAAAGTTCAGATCTCCTGAACCAGAATCTCTGGGCTTAAGGCCCAGTATTCTATATTTTAACAAGCCCTTCAGATGATTCTGAGGCACAGTAGAGATTGAGAATCACTGACTTAATAAAATGAAGCACTACGCTCAGGGAAGAACTGATGCTGAACTACTCTTCTCTCTCCCACCATTTTTTTATTCTTTAAATGATTGCTTTAAGCACTCTGAGTGTTCTTATTTTGTCCCATCAATCTCTGTTTAGGAGTTTTTTAGATAAATGTTTGGTTGAATTCAGAAACTTAGAGTAAATGTCAGTGGAACCAACTAGTGGAATTTATGTGATTCTAGTGATTTGGGAAGTTACAGTCATAAGATCATAATAGAACAAGAGAAATTTTGATAGATCACCTTCAGGCAATGAGTGGCATTTAGACCATTCATTTTTCTCTCTTAATATTTTCTTATGTGAACTAATCATTTTTCTGTTATTTTTTACCTAATCACTTCTTTGGTCTTACCATAGCTTTCAGTTGAACTTATAAGTGCTTTCTGATATAATAATGATTAAATAATAAAATGTTTCATTCAGTTAACCTGTGTTTCAGATACCTGGATATGTATTTTCTGTATTTGAATTAATAGTTTCCTTTTTAAATGTACATTTCTTTTTTTAGCTGTGGTTCCACAAATTATGAATGAAACCAAAGAAATACATTGCCATAATGGTGAGTTCCAATGAAAGTATTTGAGAATCATAATCAATAGTTAGGCATAACTCTGCTTTGCATAAATTATCATGTTTGGAGATCATTAGGCTGATAATGTATTTTGTGTAAATTTTCAGAAGTTGTGAGTTTTCCAAATGAGTCAGTATGTGTTACTTTTGCATAATTTTTTTTTACTTTCCATTTTTTAAAATGAAATATTATATTGTATCTTTGCTTATTTAAGAACAGTAACTTCCAAACTTATTTTGAGGGGCCCAAACAGTACTAATACTTTGCTCTGGGGACCACTTAAATGGAAGAGCTTGGCATCTTCTCTGTGTATTGATTTTTAGGATTGTCACCATCCAACAGTGATTTGTTTCTGTCAGATTGTTGATGCAATAAATAGCACTTAAGAGTGGTTTTCTTTATAACAATTAAAAATTTTTAAGCCAAATTTCAATTTATTTTTTCTTAAAATTCATGAATTTCTTTTATCAAGGTATAATCAGTAATATAAATACATTTTGTAATGAGCTCTTTCAGGTGACTCAGATGGTAAAGAGTCTGCCTGCAATGCAGGAGGCCTGGGTTAGATCCCTGAGTTGGGGAGATTCCCTGGAGAAGAAAATGGCAACCCTCTCTAGTATTCTTGCCTGGAAAATCCCATGGATGGAGAAGCTGGAGGGCAACATTCTATAAGACTGCAGAGTCGGACACGACTGAAGCAACTTAGCACACATGCATATATAAAAACATACACTGAAAATTTAGCCTTTCACAAAAAAACTATTCTGATAAATCATTAAAGGTGAAAACAATAAAATTTATGGGCCAAGGTCTAATTTATTATAATTAAAAGTATTCCAATTCAATTTGTCTCTTCTAAAATGCAATTATGTTTTAATGCTTTCATTAAAATCAGTATAGGCTGAGAGGTGATACAAAATGTGGTTTAACAGAATCAACAAGCTTTTTAAAGGAAAAATACCATTTTGAATAAAGTACTGCTAACCAAGAAAAAGTAACAGGTATTACTTACACCATTCCCTCTCTGCATTTACCATCCAATCTCCCACTTCTAGAAAAGTACATACTACTCAGTTCTCTTGGGAGACTGGTTGGTACCTGGTGTGTGGTGGGAAAAGGACTAGTTTTGAGAAGACTATGAGCAAGATTAAAATAAACATTTGTTGAGGGTCTAGTGTGCCAGGCTCTGGGATAGATCAGGAAAGCCACTCCCCCTCTTTGGTTTTTGTTTCCTCATTTATGAAGTGGAAAAACGATACAAGATAATCTCATTTTTTTCTCAATTCCCAGGCAACATAGGGTAGAGGATGTGAACATGTTAAACACTTGAACTTTGCTCAGATTTCTGTGTTGCTCAAAAACTAGTCATACCTGTGACTTCAAAATTAGTCTTCCTACTTTTATTTAAGATTAAAAAAATAACTCAATGATGCCTAAGAACAGGTGGGATTATCTTTCAGTGTCTAGGCTGTTTTTGTGTTTAATTTGAGTTACGATTATCCCTCAAGAGGGTAACAAAATTCTGCGGTTAAAAGGCATCCATTAAAAGCAACCAAGACTTCAAACAGCTTTCCCATAAATACTTGCCAAATGCGTTCAGCAGCTTGCTCCCACCTTGCCTCACACTGGGTTCTCTGCAGAGCTAAGGTAAGCTGGCTTGAGACAAGTTGGGACTGGATTGGGAAGAATGCCAAGGAACCACCAGGTGTTTGTAGGCAGCAACATTGATGATTCAGTTGAAGATGATGTCAGGATGAAATCAGCTTTCAAGCAGGGGTCTAGGATGCAGCGCTTAAGCCAGAGGTGAAGAGTTTCTGATGAAACCAAAAACAAGCACTTGCTGAAGAAAATGATTTCTTGCATAAGAAAATGATTACTCAGATTCTCTCTTCTAGGTCTGATTTTCGGTGTTGAAATGGGCAGAGTGTTTAGTCACTCAGCTGTGTCTGATTCTTTGTGACCCCATGGACTATATAGCCCGTCAGGTTCCTCTGTCCATGGGGATTCTCCAGGCGAGAATACTGGAGTGGTTTGCCATGCCCTATTCCAGGAGAACTTCCCAACCCAGGGACTGCACCTGAGTCTCCTGCATTGCAGGCAGATTCTTTACTATCTGAGCCACCATGAGCAGGCCCCATTGAAAATGTTCACTATTAAGTCAAAGTATTAACTACAGGGAAATTAACTCTCACTATTTTGTTAAAATATATAAAATTAAAATACATTTCCTATGATTACTATTTTGAAAAAAATTCTTCCACTTTGTTATTCAGCTATCTGGTTTCAAGAATAAAAGTATAGCATGTGTATTTATATTCCTTTTCTGCCTAGGAAATGGTAATCTTGAAAGCACATTCCATATCCTTTAACTTGTTTGAAGTGTTAGGTTGGGTTCACAGTCTCCAACTGAATCACCAAAAAGATCTCATCACCAAAAAAAGCCTGTTTTTACTGTACTTATCTCAGTGCCTTGAACATAGAGTATGCCAGGAAAAAACAATCTGATGAAAAAAATGAATGTCTTTTTAATAAGTGTTTGAATTTGAATGAAAAGCTATGGTCCTTTTCAAGATGAAATCTAATAACACAATCTCACCCTTATGCTTTCATTTTTTTTCTCCTTTATTATAAAACACTTTAGGAGCTAGTAGGATCATTGAAATTATAGATGCAATCTACCTTCATCACCCAGATACAATCTTTGGTAACAAGTAAAATCAATCAAGCAAGTATGTACTGAATTCACTGAGTCACTGAACCAAATTGACTAGTTATTTTTATTGGCTTTTTCCCTACAGTGAAATTACAATGTACGTACTGCATTATTATTCCTAATTTGTACCTCAGTAGTTGTTTCTTCCTGAGAAAGAAACAAGTTCTCTTTGTACCTGAGTAGTTGTAATATTATTCCTAATTTGTACCTGAGTAGCTTTTTCACATTCTTTGCTCCACCCTACTGCCTGTAAACTACATATCAATCCAATGGCAGGTTAACGACACTTCCCCTCAAGTAGTTCTTTTTTCTTTCTTCCTTTTCTTCCAGTTGAGAAAACAATCATAGAACGTGAGTGAAATTTATTCGCTTTCATCATTTAAGGGTGTGATGGGAGTTAAGCTGATACCTAGTTCTCAGATGTAGAATAAAACACCTATAAGTTTGGTGGTATATCTATGTCCTTGTCTGAAAAAGAAATATAAAAATTTTCATATTGTTAAATCACAAAGTCTAGAATATGATGGGAAATGAGAAGCAGCAGCCAAGGAATGGTTAGGAAATGCCTTGTAAGCTATATTGGGGGCTTGGTCTAGATTATGGAGGTGATGAGAAAATGCTAAAGAGCTGAAGACAAATCATTAGATTTGATTTCAGAGAAATTGTGTGATAGCTATATAACAATAAAGGAAGAGACAGCAGTTAATAGAATAATAGACATTTTCTTTAAGTTCAGGTATATAGCTTCCTGTGGCAAATTTGGTGTTGTCTTTTATGTTGCTATGTTGTTAAATATCATTGAACATCTTATTTAAAGGCAACACCAGACATTTTCATTATACTGATTTTTATAGAATGTCTTATGTTTATTTTTACTGAAATTTTTTGACTATTGAAAAATATTTCTGGTACAAAAAAACTTGTTAATATTTTCATTTGAAAAACACTTGCTTTTGAGTAATTTGTTTATTTCAAATATGAACACAATATATTTAGTTCAGCGGTGGCTGATATATTTGCCTGTGTGCTGCGTGCTTAGTCGCTTCAGTCATGTCCTACTCTCTGCGACTCCATGGACCATGGCCTGCCAGGCTCCTCTGTCCATGGAATTCTCCAGGCAAGAATACTGGAGTGGGTTGCCATTTCCTATATATATTTTTTTCCTCACTAAGATACTTTTGTAAAAGTTGAGCTCTTAAAAAATAGAAACGCTTAAAGAATGACTTAGAATCAATGATATGAAGTAATACTTGTTCATGCATGCATGCGAAGTTGCTTCATTCGTGTCCAACTCTTTGGACTGTATGTATGAACTGTAGCCCGCCAAGTTCCTCTGCCCATGGGGATTCTCCAGGCAAGAATACTGGAGTGGGTTGCCATGCCCTCCTTCAGGGCATCTTCCCGACCCATGGCTTGAACCCACATCTCTTACATCTCCTATGTTGGCAGGTGGATATTTACTATTAGCCCCTCCTGGGAAGTTCATGAAGTAATACACTAGGTTCTATAACAACTGAGCAGAGAATAGCACTTTGTTTCTCTCTNCGTCTCTTACATCTCCTATGTTGGCAGGTGGATATTTACTATTAGCCCCTCCTGGGAAGTTCATGAAGTAATACACTAGGTTCTATAACAACTGAGCAGAGAATAGCACTTTGTTTCTCTCTAAAGCACTACTTTAGGGCACTTAGGCTAAGGTAGCCTGAGTATGAAGGGGTTTTCATGTCTAAGTGTGTAGCATGATATTAGATTTCACGTTCTTTGCTCCACGCTACTGCTTCTGAGCTACACATCAATCCAGTGACAGTTTAATGACATGCCCATCAAGAAATTTTCCTTATTCCCTGGTGGTACCCTTCTGTTACCCACAGAGTCATCTCCCCGCGTTTACACAGTTGCTAGATGCTATAAATGCTATGAAATGCTATCAATCCACTGGAGAGACATTTTCTGACCTTATGTGCCTTTTAAATTTATAAAGGCTGAGAAAAAATATCAACTAAAGCCAACAACAGTTACATGAGGCAAAGTCTACAAAATCTGGCAAATAGAAGATCCAGGTAAAGCCCCAAATCAGCTATGACCAGAGTACCAAATGGAAAATCAGCAGCAATTACCAAAGTCATGAAAAAGAATTTTCAAAATCTTAATCATATTTGACTTTTAAACATTCATTCATGCCATAGTTGTGTTTTGTCATTGTTTTTGTTTTTTTAAACAGATAAAGATGCACAATGTCATATCAAGCAGATCTTCACACATCCACGTTTGGAACTAAATCCTGAGTTTAACCCGAAGATCAAAGACTATTACTCTGAAGTCCCATTTGATGTGGTTACAGTGACCATTGGAGCAGACGCTTCTAAGTGTCAGTGCAAGGTGTACCTGCAGGAACGGGCAGGACCAAGGTGAGGGCACTGACCTCTTAGCAGGAGCAGACCTTGGAGACAGCTCTTGAAGATGGTTCCAAAAACCTGAGGCACAAGATCTGTTGGAGGATTGTCAGGGAGGGAAATCCTTCTGCTTCACAGATGCCATGTGGTTAGAATAACACACAAGTGCTCTGCTGATCTATTAACAATGTTCGTGTTTAATCTTTCTAACAATGTTGTAATGACAGAAGATCTTGTGATATGAAATATTAAAGAAGATTCACTGAGGGAAAACTGAGTTTATTCTTAGCTTCATGTTTTTAGATTGTTGAAGAATTAATCCTTCCTAACAGTAGCCTCCTTCTATCCCAGCCCAACTCCTCGAGTTTTTCAATATTCAAGTGCTGATTACTTGGTGAACGTGTTAGTGACAATTTTTGGACACTAAATTACAATTTTTGTAACACTAACTTTCCTAGTCTCATGAGATTGTTTTCCTAATGACTCTTCTGAGAGTCACCAACTCTTTGGTTTATCATTTGAACAGATGATAGAACCTTATGACATGCCATGTCCATGACAAGAAACGTACTCATTTTCCCATGCTGTAGGGAAAGAAATGTATTCAACATTCCTGGGAGCTAAAACCATGTAATAGAAAGAAAAAAGGATTCAAGTCAGACCAACCTGGGTCCTAACCCTGACTCTACCTTACTCTAATATATTTAAAGTGGGGACAGCCTTAGTTTTTGTATGGATTTGTGAGTATTAAATGGGATAATGTATGTCCTTGACAGGTGGTTAATAAATATTAGTTCCCTTCCCTGTAATTGATAGGGGACTTGACTTGCTCTGCTAGATAAATGTTGGCATACCAAAGCACAATGAAACACAAGTTAAAATATTTCACATTTTAGATTTCTTATGAAATGGTGCAGATCTTATCTGTTTTTAATGCAAATTATTGACACAGTAAATATTGATATATGAATCCATTTGGATTCTCTCTCTCATTCTCACTCTTGCTTTCGTGCTCTCTCCAGCTTTGCCAACTACCCTCTGGGTTTAGGGATGAACAAAATCTCAGTGCTTGTGGTGGATGAATCTCCAACTCAGGGTGAGACCCTGACCACGTACAAACTTACCATCTATAGAGAAGACCGTCCAAGTCTGCCCTTGTTTGAGGACTTCACAGCGTGTGGATTTGTGCAGGTAAGTGGATTTTACATTTACACATGGGTTGAATTGGGCATGATCCTTTTACCCAGGTGAAAAAAGGTCAAATGAAAATTAATAGGGAAAAAAATGTATGCCTTCAAATCCAAGCAGCTGTGGCCTCATTTCAAGAAAGAGTCCCAGCCAGGTATCTAAGACACCTTTTTTATGAGTGATTTTCTTTTAAATGTAGTGGCTATTCCCTGCACTGAGAGTGTGCAGTGGATTTATTGTGGTTAATATTAAAAAAAGTCTGAGTGCTGACACTTAGTTGTGAAATTGGTTTTACATTTCCTTTTTAAATTGTGCTGTGTTTCTTGGATTTCTCCCTGGAACTACTTTGAAATTTTAAACTAGATTCAGTGGAATTTGTTTTAAAGAATGAGAGGAAAATTTATGAAACTATTTTATGAAAGGGATACCAGATGAATGAAATTAAATTTTCTTGAGTAGATATATTTCTTCTTCACTCTTGTACCTTAATCGTTTCTAAAGGCTGCAATTGCTCCTGTGAGCGCACATACCAGTTTGTAGCCCTGTTGACTTTGGAGGAGGGTGCACATTACCCAGAGACTTTGTCTTATTTGGTGGTTCTTTCCTCAGTTTTCCTTTTTTAGGAATCTAGGTATAACCTTCTATATTTGCTTACATCATATACCTGGCTACAAGTGATTCCAGGGAAGTCATCATTGATACTCTTACCTTATGTACTAATCCACTTAGAATAATTGCAACTATGTCTCATCTCAGTGATTGATATGCTAGTGGGAGCATGAAGCATAGTCAGTTAATAAGAGAAAAATGGCCAAATGGGCCTGAGTGAGTAGGATGGATACCGTATTTTCTTAAATGTAGGGGAGATATGGAGCATTCTTTCTCCCCCTCTACCCACCACCACAATTTCATCTTTTCTCAAGAATTTAACATGGGAATTCCCTGACAGTCCAGCAGATAGGATACCACACTTTCACTGCTCAGGGGACAGGTTCAATACCTGGTTGGAGAACTAGGATCCCACAAACTATGTGATGTGGTCTAAAACAAAAATAGCAAAAAGAATTTAACACTACTTTGTGAGGGTACTCATTGCTGAGATTTTTGTTTTTCGAGAAAATATATACCTGTGATGTATGAACTACTAGCAACTCAAAGGGAATTTCACAACAGTATAAAGATTGGTCTAAAGCAGGACAGATCTAGTATTCTGAAAAATATTAGTAGGTATACTTAAAAAAAAAGATGGGAAAGAGTAGTGTTGCATGGTTATGAAGCAGTGGGTTAAACAAAATAAAGTAGGTTTCTTGGCTGTAGGACTTCCCCAAACATTTCATGTGCTTATTTAAATATATTTAAATATGGTCCTCTTCGAAAGAAGGATATGTAGTGTCCAGTATTTTCAAACTTTTTTGAGGTCTTTTTAATGCGCTAGCTATTAATATTCTTCTGTGGAACACAGTTGAGGAAACACAGGTCTAGACTCTGGAGAAGACTTCAAGATTAGGTTCCTTTCAGTTATCTACTTTTCATTTTGTTTTTTAGGGTTGCTATTCCTCAGTCTTTTTCCAACCTGGAAAACAAATAATAGAACCACACCAAAAATGTTCTTGAGGAAGGAAACCAAAACCTAGAGGGAGGTGTGTTTTTGTCTAAGGATGTGTATGCGGTGTGTGTGTAGTTATTTCCAAACTAAATATTCTCACCTTCTTTGGTGTGTGACTCTATTTTTTGTTTTTCCTTATCTCACTCTCATATTTTAGATAGAAACTAACTCTTGGGATAAATCATCTTTGAAGGAAAGCTAATAGTATGAATTATATTTTTTCAGAATATTTATGGTTACAAACAATAGTTATTTTCGCTTTAAAAAGTGAATTTATTTCATTTTAATGTAGATTTTAATTTTTATAAGTCTCTATGGGTGACTACATTTTTATTGGTTAGTAAACTTGACTTTTATATGGAGTAAATATATAATAAAAGTTGAAAAGGAAAATAAAAGTTCTACATTAAGGCATGAAAAAATGTGTTTTTACTTTTCATTTGTCACCAGTTAGGTTTGTACTGTTGAATTTTTGCTGTATCTTTTGAAATGTAATTGATACCCACAAGTATTGGCATAGATTAATATTTTGATTCCACTCTAAACTTAAAACATGGTAAATGACTCATTCATTACTCTGCAATATGCAAAACCCATTTAATGGGTATTAGATTAATATGAAAAATTTTCAATTTCTAAGTGTTCATAAAAATGTAAAATCCTTATGCTGGATATTTTAATATGAACACGGATTTCAGGAGTATATATTCCTTCCTGGCTATCATTTGGAGAGCCCTTATACGTTTAATTGTAATTATGTACATGATGAACATCTAGAGAAATGTCAGTAGGAATGGAGATGATCCCATGAGTAGAAGGGGCACTGTAGAGCTGAAATCTCCATTATTTTCTCATTTATCTCTGGTTTATCCTTTGTTCTTCTTATGACACTATTCTGGTTCAGTTCTTGTTACTTGTTGACTCAGATTCTAAAATAGTCCCTAGCTTTGTTTGCTCATATCTGTCTGACTCTTTTCCAGTTCAGTTTTTACAAGCTTGATCTTCATCAGCTTAAAGCACACTCTGTCATAAGCGTTGCCAAAAATGCTCCAAGCCCCCCTCCCGTGGTCGTTCACTTCCCTCATGTTAGTCCATATGTTTTTTCAGCCTCATGTCTCATTAGTTGTCAGTGTGTTTTATGCTTCTGCTAACCTGGCCTGTTTACCCTTCTCCAGACATGCTTCCCAATCCTGTGACACTGGGGCTGTCCCTCCCACTGCAAACTAAAAAGAGTTTATTTGATGTCACTCCAGAAGCTGTTAACTCAGATTCCAGTGTAGGAGTTTTGATCCGCGTTGTATAAAAGAGTTCTTTAAAGGTCAAAACTGCCCCCAAATAGATTCTATTGACTGTCATTTATTACGTGCGAGGCTGTGTCCTAAATGCTTTACGTTGGTTGTAGTCTCTTTAATCCTTACAGCATCCTATTGGATTGAAATCTACTCTTAGCCCTCAGTTTCAGAGAAGAAGCCCCAAAGATCATAGATGTTAAAGATATTGCCCAAGGTCACACAGCTAGTGAGTGGTGGGGCTTGGATTCAGATCCAAGTGTGCCTGATCCCAAAGACCATGTTATATTACATTGCCTTCTGGCAGAATGGGGTCTCTAGCTGTAGGGACTTTTCTGACCCAGGAGGTATTCAAGTATCAGCTGGAAATCCATCTCTCAAGGAGAAGAGGAATTGGATTAGATGCTTTTTAAGTTTCCCTTGGGTTTCCTTCTTTCCTAGACGTTAACAAAATAAGACATCTCATTGACCCTTGGTGTATTGCAAAGCCCTGTGATTAAAGTGCACTGCTGTTGAGGGGGTCTCGTGCCAGGGTGGGCGGACTCAGTGAGGGTGGGATATGGGGGGCTGTGGGAGGAGAACACTCCCAGCCTTTGCCTACACTGCCGGCTCAGCCCCCTGCCCTGCAACTGCCGACTGCCATGTCTTTTGCTGAGGAGCAGACCTGTCCATACTGACTCCAGTGAGGATACAGACCCCTGGAGCTTGCCCATTCTCCCATTGCCTGATTCCAGTTGTCTAGTCAGATGGGCATTAGGCCTTGCTAACAGTGGCATGAACTCTCCTCCTCAGCCCAAAGAGAAAGAATAAGCTAGCAGAGGAGGTGCTACTGTCCTCCAGAAGTTCGTATTGATCTGGTCAGCTGGCAGGAAGAACCACCCTGAGGAGGATGGTGAAGAGAAGCCCCTTTTACAAAAACCAGGAATACTTAGCTGAGATGAGTGAGGGCCAAGGGCAACAGTGGAGCTTGGCAGCCAGACTGCTGGGTAACCTCTTGGTTGGTTGGTGCCAGCTGAGTTCTTTTCCCTCACATTTGCAGCTCTCCTGAGCTAAGGGGTTCAAGAAAGTGGTCCGGAAATGAGGCTGACTTGTAAAGGCACTTACTAAGAGTAGGATAACCCAGTGGACAAGAAATATATGAAAAGATGGTCATCCCTATCAGTCATCAGGAGATTGTAGATTAAAATGATAAGGACATACCACTACACACACACTGCAGTGAAAAACACTAGAAGTACTAATGATACAAAGTGTTGGAGAAGATGTGGAACAATTTTTTGTTCATACACTGCTGGGAATATAAAGTGTTTGCCTGTTTTGGAAACATTTAGCAGTATTACTATAGTTAACATATATATATCTTATGAACAGCAATGCTACTAGCTACATACCCAAGATAAATGAAGTCATAGGTCCATCAAAAGGTATATCCAAGAAATCTATTTTTTTTTTTTACTTTTAAAGCATTTTATTTTTTAGAGTAGTTTTAAGTTTACAATAAATGAGAAGAAGGTATAGAAATTACCCATTTATCTCCAGCTTCACATATATATGGCCTCTTATCAACATCACACATCAGATTGGTAAATTTTTTTACCAGGGACAAACCTACACTGATTCATCATAATCATGAAAAGTCCATAGTTTACCTTAGGGTTTGCTCCTTATGTTGTGCATTCTGTGGGTTTGGACAAATGTATAATGACACATATACAACATTATGAAATCATACAAAGGATTTTCATTGTCCTGAAAGTCTTCTGTGCTCCACCTACTCATCTCCCCAACTGCCCACCAACTCCTGCCAGTCCTAATTTTGTTTTCATTCTCTCTGTGTGTGCGTGCTTAGTCGCTTTAGTCATGTCCGACTCTGCGACCCTATGGACCATGGCCTGCCAAGCTCCTCTGTCCATGGGATTCTCCAGGCAAGAATACTGGAGTGGGTTGCCATTTTCTTCTCCTCATTCTCTCTGTAGCTTTACCTTTTTTAGGATGTCATACTGTTGGAATCACACAGCAGTAGCCTTCTTAGACTGGCTTCTTTCACTTAGTAATGTGCATCTAAGTTTCCTCCATGTCCTTTTATGGCTTGATAACTCATTTCTTTT